TTTGTTATTTTTTTGTTGGTTGATGGCATTGCTGACTTCTTCCAAACTAGGCAGTGCTGCAAACTCATCCCCGGTTTGTTGTTGTGGGATTTGTGAGAGAACCTCTTTGGCCACATTGGAGCTGCAATTCTTGTGGCTTTGGTAGTGTTCTTTCCAACTTAGTGCAATTGAGTTTTGGTCCTTCAGAAGTTTGGTTCCATCTGATGTTCTATCAGGTGTCAGCTCAGGTCCTCCTCCTTTAAAAATTTCTGCAGGGATCCCATCAGGTCCGCTGGCTTTGTTTTTTTTTTTTTTGGTTGTTGTTGGCTGATGGCATTGCTGACTTCTTCCAAACTAGGGGTGCTGCAAGCTCATCCCCTGTTTGTTGTTGTGGGATTTGTGAGAGAACCTCTTCGGCAACATTGGAGCTGCGGTTCAGGAGGCTTTGGTAGTGTTCTTTCCAACGAAGTGCAATTTAGTTTTGGTCCTTCAGCAGTGTGGTTCCATCTGATGAGCGTAGAGGCTGTATGCCATGGTTTCTTGGTCGATAGATGACCTTTGTGGCTTTGAAAAATCCCTGAGCATTATGGGTATCTGCCAGGTGTTGGATTTCTTCAGCCTTCTTTGTCCACCAGATGTTCTTGAGTTCTCTTGTCCTTCTTTGGACCTCAGCTTTTGCACTGGCATAGATTATTTTTCTTAGCAGCACAGTTGACGTCTCTCTTGCCATGTTTGGAAGGCATTCCTTTTCTTGTCAATTAGCTGTTGGATTTTCGTCAAACCAATAGTTTCTTCGCAGGCTGTGATGATGATGGAGGTCTTCAGTTTTGTTCGGCAAATAATGTGTGCAGATCCCAAGGTGGCCTTTTGCAGCTGGCAGATGGTAATTTTGTCAGCGCTGATTGTTTTTAAGTGCAGGCCAAGGTCTTGAGGCACTGCATCACCACTGGGACCCCCTTGACTGGCTTGTGCCAGAGCCTTTGATTGCTATTATTGTTGGTGTTGCCATTATTATGTCTTCCAAACTGCCATCTACACTGTCGGGTTCATCCAGTTCGACCCCGCTTTAACTCCTTTCAAGGGCGCTTTGGCGGGTCCTGCGCCCTGTTTGAAGGGTTTGGGAGGGGACAGAAGGACGTACACCTGATCCATTGCAGCATCCACACCTGCCTCCAGCAGGCAAGAGTTCTTTCTCCCACCCAGGACATCATTCCACAGATATATAAACCCCACTTGCCTAATTTCCAACAGACCTCACAACCTCTGAGGATGCCGGCCATAGATGTGGGCGAAACGTCAGGAGATAATGCTTCTGGAACATGGTCGGAAAACTCACAGCAACCCAGCCCTCACACCGGGCTGGGTTTTACTCGAATCATTTTACTCGAATCATTTCAGTGTCTTTCGGATTTTCGCACAAATAAGGCACCTGGGGATAAACAAGAATATCCTTCCTTCCTCCTTTTCCTCTTCTTTCTGCTTTCTTTCCTTCTTTCTTTCTTTCTTTCTTTCCTTTCTGCCTTCTCTCTCTCCCTCTCTCTCTTCTTCCTTCCTTCCTTCCTTTCTGCCTTCTTTCTCTCTCTTTCTCTCCTTCCTTCCTTCCTTCCTTTTTCCCTTCCTTTCTGCCTTTCCTCTTTCTCTCCTTCCTTCCTTCCTTCCTTCCTTCCTTCTCTCTCTTTTCTTTTCTTCCTTCCTTTCCTTCCTTCCTTTCTCCTTCTTTCTCTCTCTTCTCTCCTTCCTTCCTTTCCTTCCTTTTCCCCCCCTTCCTTTCTGCCCTTTCTCTTTCTCTCCTTCCTTCCTTCCTCCTTTCTTTCTTCTCTTTCTTCCTTCCTTCCTTCCTTCCTTTCTCCTTTTCTCTCTTTCTCTCCTTCCTTCCTTTCCTTCCTTTTCCCCCTTCCTTTCTGCCTTTTCTCTTTCTCTCCTTCCTTCCTTCCCTTCCTTCCTTCCTTTCTTCTCTCTCTCTTTCTCTTCTTCCTTCCTTTCCTTCCTTCCTTCCTTTCTCCTTCTTTCTCTCTCTTTCTCTCCTTCCTTCCTTCCTTCCTTCCTTTCCTCCCTCCCTTCCTTTCTCCTTTTCTCTCTTCTCTCTCCTTCCTTCCTCCTTCCCAGCAGCTATTTCCCCCACAATGAACAAGGAATACGTACCATATTTGTGCTCACTGACTACAGTTTGTTTGTTTGTTCATTCTCTCTCTCTCTCCTTCCTTCCTTCCTTCCTTCCTTCCTTCCTTCCTTCCTTCCTTTCCGACAAGTGCCTGCCTGCCTGCCTTCTTTCTCTCTCTTTCTTTCTCTCCTTCCTTCCTTCCTTCCTTCCTTCCTTCCTTCCTTCCTTCCTTCCTTCCTTCCTTCCTTCCTTCCTTCCTTCCTTCCTTTCTCCTTCTTTCTCTCCTTCCTTCCTTCCTTCCTTCCTTCCTTCCTTCCTTCCTTCCTTCCTTCCTTCCTTCTTCCTTCCTTTGCAATGCCAACCTTGCAGTAATGGTTTGCTATCATTAGGTCTTGTAATATTAAGTATTAAAGGTGTGGGGATTGTTGTCCAGGTAGAAAACTCTAACGAAGGAACTACTCTTTAGTATATATTGCATTCAGAGTGTGTTTCCATATCCTCTCTCTCATATATATATATATATATATATATATATATAGAGAGAGAGAGAGAGAGAGAGAGAGAGAGAGAGAGAGAGAGAGAGAGAATATATAATAATAACAATAATATAATATAATATAAAGAGAGAACAACATATAATATAATTGTATTGTTCTCTCTCTATATATATGGAATATATTATATATTTGTCCTCTATATATATTATATATTGCATTCAGAGTGTGTTTCCATATCCTCTCTCATATATATATATATATATATATATATAGAGAGAGAGAGAGAGAATATATAATAATAATAATAATAATAATATAATATAAAGAGAGAACAACATATAATATAATTGTATTGTTCTCTCTCTATATATGGAATATATTATATATTTGTCCTCTCTATATATTATATATTATTCCCTCTTTATTATAATATAATATAATATAATATAATATAATATAATATAATATAATATATATAATATATAATAATATATAATATAATATAATATAGAGGGAATAATATATAATATACAGAGAGAACAAATGTATAATATATTCCATATATATAGAGAGAACAATATATAGCATAATATAATATATATATATATATAGAGAGAGAGAGAGAGAGAGAGAGAATATATAATAATAATAATAATAATAATATAATATAAAGAGAGAACAACATATAATATAATTGTATTGTTCTCTCTCTATATATATGGAATATATTATATATTTGTCCTCTATATATATTATATATTGCATTCAGAGTGTGTTTCCATATCCTCTCTCATATATATATATATATATATATATATAGAGAGAGAGAGAGAGAATATATAATAATAATAATAATAATATAATATAATATAAAGAGAGAACAACATATAATATAATTGTATTGTTCTCTCTCTCTATATATGGAATATATTATATATTTGTCCTCTCTATATATTATATATTATTCCCTCTTTATTATAATATAATATAATATAAATATAATAATATAATATAATATAATATAATATAATATAATATAATATAATATAATATAATATAATATAATATATAATATAATATAAGGGAATAATATATAATATACAGAGAGAACAAATGTATAATATATTCCATATATATAGAGAGAACAATATATAGTATTATATATATATATATATATATATATATATATATATATACCGTGTATATATATAATAATAATAATAATAATAATAATATAATATAATATAAAGAGAGAACAACATATAATATAATTGTATTGTTCTCTCTCTATATATATGGAATATATTAT